TATATATATATATATATATATATATATATATATTTATACTTATTTATTTATTCATCTATTTATATCTAAGTTTAAATCACAGTTCTTGTTGTCATATAGTTTTGCATTTTTATTGCATAAACATGGTGTTGGTTTCGAATTCAAGGCCCTACATCTATTTTTTATTTAATTTAAATGAGACAAGGTGAACACTAGGCAAGTCTGAACTGACTCCAGCTCGACTCGTTCACAGCCGTACGCACTGGCCTATGACATTCTCCTCTTTCAAATCATCTATGACATGTCTTACATTGAAAGGAAACGTAACCGGCTGATTCCGCTCCAATCTTCGGATCACCGACTCATGCACATTGTTCCAAGAATTAAAAGAGAAAACAACAAGCTATAAGATATTGCCTCAAAAATGATAACCAATTAGCTTCCATTCCATTCTCACACTTCAGTGATACTTCTCTGCTTTCTCTAGATGAGTTTTTCAGCAATAGCTATATTGATGGAAACATTAACATATGAATGACGCAATTAATTTCATCAGCCACACATTCTACCTGTGGCCTTTCCCCTTCAATAACGATGAAATATCTTCCTTGCCCAAGAACTTCATCTTTGCTATCGTCCATGACTGCCCAATGCTCAAAGTTCATGATTGGGACCTCAAGTTCCAAGACATCAATAATAATCACTGATCTTTGTCTGGTGATTAGGACCTAAAGTCCATGATTAGCACACACCCACATAAAATAGAAATAAATAGGAGATAACTCGGTTTTTGAGTGAAAATTAATTAAAAGAAAAAAAATCATGTGGTCTAGCACAGTTGAAATATATCACTATATAATTGTATGCACATAAACCCGCTCACATCTTGGATTGGAGAAGATTGAGTTACATTGTTGATGTATAACGATAGTTTAGCAATAATAGCTATAACCAGTCGCGAAGGTTGGGTCGATTTCTATGGCGACAGTAGTTCGCAATGAATGGTGTGAATGATTGCTATAGTGTCTGTTGGCCGTAGAGGTTATAATTGAAAGTTATGGTAGTAGTTAGCAATTTAGACTACAAATATTTGCTTTGGGAGCGTCAACTGGTTAAAAAGGCTCAATGATGAGTTAATAAAGGCGAATTTTGATGAAGATTATTATTTAAAATTTGATGATCCCTCACACCAATTCACATTTTTAGTTTTATTTAAATTAAATAATAAATAATAACAAATAATAAATATATAAAAAATTCATTAAAATTTTTTGCAATGTTCTAGAAGCCTTCTATAACCTAAAAAAATAATTTCATAAGATTTAAATTTTTTTAAAAGACTTGAATAAAATATCAAGTTAAGTTAAACTATTCAAATTTAATAATTCATTAATTAAACATTGGAAAATTTACATATGAAGCACAAAATTCTTATGTATTTGCATATCTCGTACTTAAACTTTCATATTTATATACATAGTATAACTCTGAAAAAACACCGACCGTGGTAGATAATAATCGGTGGCCGACCACACCAGCCAGGTGGCGGGCCACATTGTCGGATAGTTCCAGTAACAAAAATGTACTAAACATATGAAAAAAGTGTCGAATATACAAAAAGGTGATAATGAAGACAATAATAACTGACAACTCATAGGGACATAATAACTAATAACTCGCATGTACAATAATAATTGGTAACTCTCAAGGGCATTGTAACTTGTAACTCCCGAAACAATGATGTAATTCTGTAGATTTCTTTTATGATGTAGAATGATCTTTTTCATGTATAAGGGAGAGTCATTTGAGTTTTCCAACGATTTAGGCATTATGCTTTCATTCTCTTGTAACAATTTCGTTCAATATATAAAATTGGTCTGAGAGCCCGAAGAACACCCTTACTTTGCCTAGTTTGGCGCAATCATTGTGTCACTCATTCTTTCTCTCTCATGCTATTTTCCTCTTCCTCGGTCCCTACGATCTATGCCTTGGGCATGGTCAATAGGACAAATTTGGATTCAACATCCTAAAAGGTGCGATGAGCATGGATCGTGTCATCAACAAGAAGATGGGAAACATTGAGGAAAAAATCCTTTACAGATGCACTCCTAACAAAGAGCATGCAAGGGGAAGTTGCACAACAGCAGGTTCACTTCATTTATTTCTCATCGCAGAAGATTTCAAAGATATTCCATCTCTTTCCCCGTAGGTCTGTGCACGCTCTCCGCTTGGAGATCCAGAGACCAACGCACCTCGCGTGTGCAGATAACCACCACCGATCAGCTGGCCACATCGTCAGATGGACCCAACAACGAAAATGTGCCAGACATACAAAATGTGTCAGATATACGAAAATGTGTCAATGAAGATAATAATAACTGGTAACTTCTAGATGCATAATAACTAGTAACTCCGAAGAACAATTATTTTTGGTAACTCCTAGGGGCATCATAACTTGTAACTCCCATGGGCTTAATAACTTGTAACTCCAAGGAGCAATGATGTAATTTTCTAGATACCCTCTATGATGTATAAATAGAAGGATCTTTTTCATGTAAAGGGGGAGGCCATTTGGGTTTTTCAAGCCATTTAGGCATCTCTCTCATCTTCTATTATAACAACTTCTTTAAATATATAAAATGGGTATGAGATCCTGGGGAATACCCCCACTTTGTTTTGTTGGGGGCAATCCCTGTGTCGTCGCTCTTTCTCTCTCTTGCTCCTTCCTCTCCTTCGATCACTACACTCAATGCCTTGGACATGGTCTCTAGGGCAAATTTGGATTCAACACAACTTTTTGGTGCTTTAAATCTATGCTTGAAAGTGTGTATTTCACTTTTAAAGAGAGAATAGTGTTATTTTACAACAACAACAACAATAATAACAAGTCCTTATCCCACAAAGTGTGGATAATAGTGTTGTTTTTAATGTGATATTAAAGATTTGTGTCATATGTCTAAATATGAAAGTTTAGGTATGCGATATATAAATAGATAACAATGGTGTGCTATGTATTTAAGTGCCTTAAAAACATTTAAGCTTATAAAATTCATAATAAATTAAATAAAAACAAAAAAATCTTTTATCAAAAAGTATACGCTAAATTTTAAGAAAATAGAAAGTTTAGAAAAATTAAAAGTAAAATTATTAAAATAAATAATAATTTTTATAATTTAAAATTTAAATAAGGAAATAATTCATAGAATGCCAAACTCTTAAATGACTTCAAAATTTAATTTAAAACATTTTCGCGAGCATTTGTGCAAAGACTTATGAATTTCAAAAGGCAGTTAAAATTTAAATAATTTTTAGATTTTAAAATATCTATTCAATTATGAAAAAATAATTATATAAAAATATAATTAATTCAAAACTTACCTTCCTTTTTATGAAATATTTCTCTTGAAATTTCAAACTCAAGTCATTGCTTTTATAAATTTAGTGTCATTTTTAAATTAATTTGACTTTTTACAACTTAATTAAGAAGTAGTATAAATTTTACAAAAGATGTTCAAGATTATCTCTCATCTAAATAAATAAATTTATGAAGCTTTAAATTTTGTTTAATCTAAAAATAATAATTTAAGTTCACAAATTAGCAAACATTAATATACAAATTTTAAGTTAAATTAAAATCCATAAAAAAATATATTTGCAGCATTAGGATGTCATGAAATGTCATTTCATCTCTTTAAAGTGTTTTGCACATACATAAAATACAATGTTTTAAATTATATGTTTTTTTGTTAAGGTAAATTTTATATTTATAACTACTCCTCTAATTTTTTAAAACAAAATGTGAATGACAAATATTCAAAATTGAAATAAAATTCTTAAAGTAGTATATGCTTAAAGTGGAATTCTTCTATTGATAAAATTTAAACTTCAAATTTGAATTAGAATTTGAACCTTATAAACTTAGTCTAGGCTCACCACTCTAGCCTCACATATTATATTGTTTTTTAAGCCACAAAGATTTAGTTTATGTCATTTGTATTTAGTTATTATGTATTGTGTATTATGAAGTTTTGTTTATTTGCTAGACCAGATGGTATGCTAGTTGCCTATATGTTAGATTAGATGTTAAGAAAATTATTTAGTAGTTCTAACGATACTTTCTACATGAAATTAGTGCTTAGCAGAGCAATGCTTATGTCAAAGCTAACAAGTTTTGCTTGTTTATCTTTATTATTTGTACCCCTAGCAGAACATGTTGCCTAGTACTCATTAAATTAAGCCTTATATTTATTTATAGCTATTTGTGTGTGTTGTGAGACCTAAAATCTAATTTATAGATTTAATTATATTTTTTTGAAAAGGTAATTTAAATTATAATTGGATATAAAATATGTGGAATTTGAATAAGTATGGATAAGTTGTATGATTTGGTGATGCCCTACCATGCGTGGAGAACCTGTAACATAAAGAAGAAGGTGAATTTAAGATGATGAAATAAAAGACCCCAATAGTTCAACTTCTTAGTTCTAAAAAGAGTGGTATAATGGTAGAGCTCAACTGCCTAATCTTCTCCTTTATTTCAAGATGTATAATAATACTTGCTCGAATATTCTTTCATGGTGTATAACGGTATCCAAACACATCAACTTATTCTTTTTTGCTATTTTGATTGCTTATTATTTTGTGTGGCTATGTTGTTTACTCCAATAAAAATTATGTTTTTTAGGGTTTTTTTTTGTGTTTACGCGTGAAAGCCCAGTAAAAATATGTTAGGATATTGAGATGAATTATATTTTTCAACTAAAATAACTTAAGTTAAAATTAACAAATCAATTAAATAAACTTGAATGCCTATAAAAATGATCATTAAAATTTACTTAAAAGCTTTAGAAAGAATTAAACTATATGCATTGATAAAGTGACCTTATTTTTTCTGGACAATTCACCATAACACATGAGAGGAATATCTAGCCAATTAAAATAGTTGCACTTCTTGAGAAAGTCTACTTAGCACTTAATTGACCTTTAAAATCTTGCTGCTATATTTGCATAAGTGCACCCTCTAAAAGTAAATTGAAACAACTAAGTAAAATTTGAAAATGATAAAAAGTTACATTAGTTAATTGCATTGCACACCCGTCATATTAATGGTTGAATCATCTTGATTATGTTATAATTAAGCAATTTTGAATATAAACTTTGAAATCCATAGAGACAAGCTATTACTTTAACTAAGAGTATTTTTAATAGTCCATCACTCCAGGCATATGATCAAACATAAGGGCTTGCTCCTATAAGAAACATATACTCTAAAATAAGCTAAATTCTACCTTACCCAAATTAGGTAGGAAAGATTTTCTAATTTACACAAAATCATAAATTTGAAGACTTATTATTTAATGATTTCTTTCATTTATAAAATGATATTCAATCTTATGAGTGACATATTTTTTTTTCATGTTGTACTCAATCATCTAACCTAAAATTTTTAAAATTTATATTATGATGCTTTTCTTAGCTCTCAATTCACTCTCACATGTATCATGTCGCTATATTGATGACACTTCAACTTATGTTTTCACACATTCACATTCATGTCAATCTGATTTTGCATCTCTACTAGTTAATATTGGGTGATATTTTTTTACAGATGATTAAAATGTGGATGTTCATTAATATTTTTATCTAAAATTAGCATTCCTTTCAAAAACCACTTTGATTCATTGGACAACACTTTTTTTGCTAAACTTCTAAAATGAATCCTCACATTATTGCTTCTTAATGAGTCAATAGGAGCTAACTCTTAGCACATTGTACATAATGTTGGACCAAATACACATTCATTGGGAACATCCTTGCCAATGCATAACAAATCAGAGTTTTTTAGAAGTGTTTAAGGAAAGTACTAAAAAACCATTAAATTCAATCTTATAAGTTAGCATTCAAAAGATCTTATTGTTTAATTAGCCTCAATTGGTTTGACCATGTTAACTTACGGTTGATCAACCTTTACTAAGAAGAATTTGGAATGACTAATGTTTGAGTATGCTTACTTTGAGTTGAATGGCTTTGTTTAGATCAAAATTAAGCTTCCTTGAATTCAATTATAATTTTTTTATTGACCCTCCTGGCTGTTCTTAGTTGGAAAATGCCTCATAAAATATCTTAAGACATTTCATAGCCCTTGGCACATATCTTTTAATAGTGTCCATGTAAAAACCCTTTTGGTATAATTGCTTAAAATAAACTATTTGCCATCATAGTTACTCTTACGCATAAAGTATTAGAAGTTCATATTTATTTTTGATT